AGTCAAGTTGGCATGTGTAACTTTCGTTGACCTTCAACCCAAGTTGGCTTTTAATGTAAATTATCCATCAAGTTTCATATATACTTCAACCATATTCGGATTAAATTTTTTTTATTAGTTCTCGAATAATTATATTTCTCTTTTAATTTTTATTTTATATAATAATATATTTTTTATTATAAACTAATTATATTCCAATATTTTTTTGATAAAATCAAAAGAGTAATTCATACAAACGAGTTAGTGGGAGTCACGACAACTTAGGTGTTTTACATTTTGTTTCAAATCCACACATATTTTCTAATTTTCTCTATACACGCACGCTGAAATCTTTAACAAAAGTTATTGTTAAACGCGACGAATATTTTTTTATTTATTTAATAAGAAAATAGGGGGAAGGGGGCCAAGAAATTGAAATGGGGGGAGCAAATGGTCCATAGTGTGTCTCCTGGGAAGTGTGGGCGAGCGAAGGACTTTTTGTGGCAGTCATGTTTGTTGTCTCCATAACCAAACACACCCCCCCACCCCCCACCCCCCCACCCCCCTCCCAAAAAGTCCCTTCCTAATCCCCCCCATATATATTTTCTCTAGGGGGAGGGGGGTGGGGGTGTGTATTGTGGAGTGGGGGTGGTGGGGGCACTTAAACAAGGGTTTCACATGACCTAATCACCCTTCTTCCACAACAAACCACGAGCCAAGAAAAATTGAATCCGAAAATTATGAGATACATATATATATATATATATATATATATATATATATATATATATATATATATATATATATAAAAGAATTTCAATAGTTTAGTTACTATTTTTTTCAAGCTCAAAAAGGCAATGAGAATAGTAGTCGACAGTTTTTAATAATTATAACTATATGATTTTTATTATACAAATGTGCACAAAATGAGTTAAGGTAATTTAAGCGTCCTATGCTATATCTGATTATTTATACTATGTGGATTTGAATCGTAAATCTACACATAATCATACATACCAACGTGTATTTGGGCTTAGTAAAAATTTATTATTAGAGTATATTATTGTAATATTAGGATTCTATTATGATTCGGTTACCTAGATTAGTTTGGATTTAGTTACCTAGTCAAACTCTATTACCTCGTATTATTTCTCTATATATATTCCATGTAAATCAATCCACAATATAATAGGCGTTTCTATTATATTACGCAGTATTATTATTTCTCTCTAATTCTATTTTTCCTATAGTTATTTAATCAAATTATACCGTTCAAATCCAGCCGAAGTAAATGAAATAATCAGATATAATATCAAATCTCTCGACACTTAGGTGGTGTTTGCAAATGCTTTTTGAAAGTGATTATGCGGTTTTTTTTGCTCATAATCTGTTTTTAGGTGTTTGCAAAATCAACTTTTGCTTTTGCTTCTCTTAAAATAATCTGCTTTAAGCTATTTTTTTAAAAGCACCCCTAACCCTGCTTTTTCAATTTTAGTTTATTTTCCGAATTTTTTGCAAACACCCCCAACTTTTAAAAATAAGCACTTAAAACTAACTTAAATCACAATCACTAACTTCTACTTTTAAATAATCATTTGCAAACACCACCTTATATTGGACCTCAAAAATCACATAAAAGGACACGTGTGTTGAATAGGGGTAGAGGTACTCGCATGTGGTTTTTTTATGGTTTGACATGTGAAGAGAATTCAAGTGGCATATGTCTATGTTTTATATTATATATTTTATATTATATTATATATATACATATAATAGTATTATTAATAAAGAAGTGAAATGGTCCTCTCTACCAAAGTCGACTAGCATTAATTAAAGGGTATTTGGATGTGCATGATATATAAAATTATAAATTGGAATTAAATTAATTTAATTTAATTTATCAGTCTATTACCCTTCAACAATATTTATATAGAAGATCTTCAAATAATTCAAATCTTTAGTTTTCTCTGACAATTTGATGGAACAATAATGTATATTTGACTTAGATAGCTAACTCGATAATAATAATAAGGTGGTTTGACTTCCATAATAATTTGAATGTAGTGCTTGTCAGTTTTTATGACAAAACTATATCTACTTACAACAAAGACATGACTTCGTAGTTATATTATATGCTATTTTTTTACAAATATTATCTTTCTTCCCCTGAATTAGGGATTTGCGCGGGTCATAAACTCGTGGGTTCTAGCAAATTTCATTATAATTTCGATAAACAACGGTTCTTGATTTTAGGAAACTAAATTTGTGAGTTTTCAACGAATATATGGTAGGCGGGCCATGACGGATTTATAGTAAAACCCAATTTCACGTGTCGATCGAAACCCTTTATAATTTAAACATGTTTTTTTTATTAACAATTATAAATTTTACGCGAAACTATTTACAAATTAAAAGAATTACCAAACATAAGAATTTTAAATTGAAACCAAAATGAACATCAATTATAAATATCAAGAGTAAATCAAAATTAATACGTTTCATTAAAAATAGTAACTAAATTCAAAAGTTTCACAAGACAAAATTTAAAATAAAATAAATAACTATAGACAAAACGAGACGATAACCTCGTTATAGATATATGTTTTGACATATATAAAAGATATTTTATTTATGTATTATATATTATCAATTTATTATACTACATTATATAAATAAAAGGACGTCATTTGCCAGTTTGACGGGTTGATTAGTCCGACTCATTGTATATCTATTTGTTGTCCATTTCTGCTACTAGCTCTCCCTTTACCACCTAGGACTTAAATAAGGTCATTGTCATCACAACCGTGCAATATAAAAAAATCAATAAATTGTTATACAGCCAACTAATTAATTATTTTTGTATTATAATAATAATTAACTATATTGCACCACTGATTAACCCAGGCCCCATGTTAATTAGTCGGTGCACACAATCCTACATAAGAAAACCCTAAAATTCAACATGGATTTAATCCAATTTTTTAAATTCTCATCTCTACATATATCACATCATTTTCGGTACCACATCTTTTCTTTTCAAATAAATTTAATTTGAATTCTTCTATTGTACAGAGCTGATTCGAGCATGGTACTAAGCCAAAGTTGGACCAATATAACCCAATTTTTAATATTTCCATTTTTCTTGTTTCGTTTTCATTTTTCTTCGCTTTATTTTTTGTCTTTGTGATGGATCAGTCGGTCTGATTCGGTTTTAACAACATTGATGATAGTTGTATGTCGTCAACATTAAAGGGTGACATTTTATAATTTCAATTCTCTAACCCATATATTTTGCTAAAAAAATCAAATAAAATACATCTTTTTCAACATTAAAAAATAAATAAATAAAAATCTAGTCAAATTGAGCACACGTCAAATCCACAGCAGATTCCAGATCATATATACATCTAAAATTAGAAAAAAAATATTTGATGTTTAACAAAATAAAGTCCTCAATTTGAAGAAAAAATTACCATGCAAATTAGAAATGGATTATTATTAATTTATTATGCCATGATTAGCTGTCTCAAATGTTGAATTATGGGTTCTGCTATTAATTAAGAGAATATGCCAAAAAGAGGATAATTAGCCATCCAAATCAGCGGCCACTGGGTCACATTTTCACCTACCATTCCATTTTTGGTTTTCTAATTTCAGTCCTAAGTATTATTTAATTAATTAATTAATTAATTATTATTTTTATCACTTTTTGTTCAACCTAAAAAAAGGGCTTTAAAAAAAACCCAAAAAAGGGCTTTGTTATATACTCTTTACCTTCTTAGGCCGTGTGATTACGATGGTAATAATTTGATTTAATAATGAAATCGGTTGGCTAGATAATACCAACGGCGGAACTCATAATTTTCTAATTTCTTCAGGATTAAATTTAAGTAAATTTCAAACTTCTTTGTTTTAATTATTACGTCGAATCATATTATTTTGTGTTGCTGAAGCAAGTGATTCTGTGTCAATTGATCCAAAAAAAAAAATTATAGTGGTGTTAAATAAAATAGAAAAAAAAATTGGAATAATTAATTATACTAAAAATGAATTGCACGGAGTTTCCAGGATCTTGCTTAGTGCGCAGTGTCGATTAATTAGGAGAGGTTGACTTCAAATGAAAAAAGGTTGTTGGAGTTGTTAGCATCATAAAAACACAATTAAATTGTTTTTATTTCTTTCTTCTTTTTTCTTTTTCTTGAAAAAAGAAAAAAATATATTTAGAGAGAGAGAGAGAGAGGGGGGTAGAGAGAGAAAGTGGTCGACAAGATGGGCCCATTTAGCAGGGGAAAATATGGACCAAAGCAGAGTTGGAGGTCCAGTTTTATATGGGCTTTGTTCCCACTTTTCCTATTCTCTCTTTACTACTCCGATTTCCTCTGTCGGTACACTTTCACCTATTTTTTTTATATAATCCAAAAAGGCTAAAATTATATTATTTTTCTTTTTATTTTTATTATATATAAAAAAAATTAATAAAATTAATATTTATAGTTTTACATTTTTTCCTTAATACTAAAAATAAAATAACTAATCTACGCTATATTTCATAAATAGTATTTTTTTTTGGGGCTAAAATTGATTAATTAACATTTTTATAATTTAAGGTGACAAAATCTTCAAACATTTACGTTCCTTACTTAAATTCGCTATTTTTTTTTAGGTAATTTAATTACAATATCGAAGTCGTAGTTTATCGAAATAATCCTACACTCCTAAATGGGAGTAGAGTACTATTGATGTAGACAAAATTGAGGTATAGTTTATCCAAATATTGTTACTAATTAAAAACAAAAAAAAATTAATATTGTTACTAAATACTAATTATTGATCAAGCCAATATACAGATTCAATAATTAATAATTTTACAATTCAAAATTCAAAAAATCAAAAAACGGATAGAGTATACCATATATTAATTAATAATAAAACAATAGGTAAAATAATAAGCAATTATCCAAAAAAAAAAAAAAAAAAGAAAAGAAATTTAGTACATGAGCTGCCAACTCCTATATATACCCACTGAGATTTGCCCCAGAAAGCAACATACCTTCTCATTTGCAAAACACTTACTTTCTCTCTCTAACTCTCTCTCTCTAGAGATCATTCATTCCTTCATACTCAGCCACAGCTTCTAGATTTCTTTTTCTTCCTTAAAAAAAAAAAAAAAGAAAAAAAAATGACGCTGTCAGAAAAAGCAACATGCAATTCTCACGGCCAAGATTCTTCCTACTTTCTCGGATGGGAGGAGTACGAGAAAAACCCGTACGATGATTCAACCAATCCCAATGGAATTATCCAGATGGGTCTTGCCGAAAATCAGGTTTCTTTTTTTTTTTTTCTTTTTTTTTTTCTTCAGATAAAAAATATAATTTGTTTATTTATTCTTAATTAAATTTTTATTTTTGCAGCTATCTTTTGATTTACTAGAAAAATGGCTGTCGGAAAATCCGGATGCAGCTGGGTTCAAGAGAAATGGGCAGTCCATTTTCAGAGAGCTTGCTCTCTTTCAAGATTATCATGGTCTTCCTGCTTTCAAAAATGTAAGCATGCAAATACTATATTATATATTTAATTAAATAAATATTTTTATTAATTTTTTTTTTTTTTTTTTTTAATATTCCAAATTAACTAACTTTGAAAAAAATGATGATGAATAATTCAGGCACTGGCACAATTCATGTCGGAAATCCGAGGAAACAAAGTCAGCTTCGTTCCCGACAACCTCGTACTCACCGCCGGCGCCACGTCAGCAAACGAAACCCTCATTTTTTGCCTCGCCAACCCCGGCGAAGCTTTTCTTCTCCCCATTCCATACTATCCTGGGTACGTATATTTATATATTATTCCTTTATATTTATTTCTTAAACTAATTCCACGTCACCATTTTTTGAAAATTTAATAATGATTTTTGTTTTTTTGAATTAATGCAGATTTGACAGAGACCTCAAATGGCGAACCGGTGTCGAAATAGTGCCCATACAGTGCACCAGCTCGACCGGGTTCAGAATCACTGAACCGGCTCTGGAAGAAGCTTACAAGCAGGCGCAGAAGCTTAACCTAAAAGTTAAAGGCGTATTAGTGACTAATCCATCCAACCCGCTGGGCATAACCCTGACCCGCCACGAGCTTAACCTCCTCGTCGATTTCGCCGACGCCAAAAACATCCACCTCATCAGCGACGAGATTTACTCCGGCACCGTCTTCAACTCGCCGGAAGATTACGTCAGCATAATGGAGGTCCTCGTTGACCGGAACCTAGTCAACACCCCCCTCTGGAACCGGGTCCACATTGTGTACAGCCTGTCAAAGGATCTGGGCCTCCCGGGTTTCCGGGTCGGGTCGATATACTCGAACGACAAACGGGTCGTGTCGGCCGCAACGAAGATGTCGAGCTTCGGGTTGATTTCGTCGCAGACTCAGTACCTCCTCTCCGCCATGCTTTCCGACGAGAAGTTCGCCGGGGACTACGTGGTTGAGAACCGGAGGAGGCTGAAGAACCGGCACGCGATGCTGGTCCGGGGACTGAAGAAAACCGGAATCACGTGCCTCGAGAGCAACGCCGGTTTATTCTGCTGGGTTGACATGAGGCATCTGATGAGAGAGAAAAGTTTCGAGGCGGAGATGGAGCTGTGGAAGAAGATTGTTTACGAGGTGGGTTTGAATATCTCGCCCGGTTCGTCTTGCCACTGCGCTGAACCGGGTTGGTTCCGGGTTTGTTTCGCCAACATGTCTGAGGCCACACTGGAGCTTGCGATACAGAGGATTAAAACCTTCGTGAACGCCATTAGTGGTCAAAATCAAAGTCAAAATCGAGTTTGCTCGAGGACAAAATCGTCAAAATGGGTTTTTCGGATGTCGTTCAATGGTCGTGAAAGTGAACGGTGAATCCGGTTTGTGTGTGAACTCACGCGCGCACACCCTCCCCATTTTTTTATTGACTTTTTTTTATTCGAATATTGAGTTTCGGATTTTTGTGTAATTCTTTTTTTTTTTTTTTTGGGTAATGTAAATTAAGAAAAGAGTGGCACTCTGTCCACGTGGACGTGAAGTGAATTGCGCTTCATAAATCTGTAAAACTCGTTTTTTGTTGGAAATCTTCTCGATAAGTTAACCTCCACCGATTATTTATTATTTAATTACATATTGTTTTGATTAATTGTTTGTAGTTTATACTCCACTCATTTGCATTGGTCCTAAATAATAATTACTACTACATTTCTGCCTTTGCTTGTATTGTTCTCTAAAAAAATTAATAATAAATAATAATAATAATTAATTTTTTTAGATAATTTATGAGTTATAAGGGATAAAGTTGGAAAATAACTAATTAATGACTATTGATATTTTAAAATGACAAATAGATTCTGATTAATTTAAATAACCATATATTTCAGACCATTTTATTCAGATATTTATGATTTGTAATTCATAATAGTGACATTTGGTAAAATCGTAAATAGTGTCAGATCTACAAGAGTCGTCTAGTTGGTGGATTACGAGAGCGTGATATATCATATATTTAACGAGATGAGTTGTATTATAAGAATGTGAGTTCCTTTTTACAATATAATGTACATTTCCTACTGCGCGTTTCCTTGTAAAAATAAAAATAGTATAAACTATATATTTTATTGTTTCGAGAGAATAAATGAAGAAATAAATAATATAAAGGGTAAATTACAAACAACCCCTGAGGTATGGTCAAATTACAAAAACCCCCCTATTGTTTGGATAATTACATCTACCCCCCTCAACTATGATTTTTTCTTAGACCTCCACCTTTATGGTGCCAAATTCAACATAGTCATCTAGATTCCGTGAAATGTGCTCTAGTTTGTACTCTTTTTGTGTAAAAAATACAGTTTCCGATGCACCACAAACTGATATATACAAGCTAAAAATCACATATTATGGTCATCTTGCTTCATAATGTAGAGTTTGAATGGGATAAAACGGGTACCAAAGTGATAATATTCTATATAATCTCGAAGATTCCACTAAATTTGATGAGTTGAGGGGGTGGTTGTAATTATCCAAACAAGAGGGGTGTTTTTGTAATTTTGCCATACCTCAGGGGGTGTTTGTAATTTACCCTAATATAAATGGCTGTGATAAATAGAAGCGGCGCGATTGGACATTGGCCGGTTAAACAAACGGTGATATAGAAATGTTTGTCAAACCGACTTCTTTTAATGTTGTCTGATCACGTTGTTTTAACTTTAAACATGCAGTAACATGCGTATAATACGTAGTCATATATTATTTGCTTATTTTAATTATTTATTTATTAATTAGGGTTTTTGAGATAAAAAATATATATATATATATTCCATTTGAGGATGAATTTAAACTTTGGAAGGCCCTAATTTCGTTAATTCATTTTTTTTTCTTTTTAGAGAAACGAAATAATAATAAAGCAATAAAAATCTGAATAATATTCTTCTTTTCATACAAAAAATTAGTAATTTAATTAGATGGGAGTTGCCTGTAAGTAATCTTTTTCCTTTTATTTTTTTTTTCATACAAAAAATTAGTAACTTAAACATTAATTTTTTTTCTTTAATATCTATATCATACTTTTGTAGGCAGGCATAATTAATTATTTTTTCACTAATTTAAACCTTGATCATTCATTAAAGAGAGAGGCCTGATACCTTTGATCTATGAGATGTTATACCTGGTGAAATGTACCGAATGTAGCATCTACAAAACCCAGTTAGTAAAATAATCTTGTTCGGATGATAATTTTATTTTGATAATTTTAGTTTTTTTCTTATAAAAGTAAAGGTTATTTAAATGTGTGCCTAATTAAACCTCAAATTAATGACAAATAAAATGGCACCGAGGAAGTGTTTTATTTTCTTTAGCAAGTACTTTACTTATAAAGACAATGAAGAACAATAAAAATACTTCCCCACTAAATTAACAAAATCATATACTAAAAAAAAAAATTTATTTTAAAAAAATGATTTGATTTAACCGAACTTTACTATGGCTAGTTGTTGAAATTAATGGTTTCCCTAAAATTTTAAATTTGTTGAATTTAGATTAATTTAGAAATTGTTCAATTATTCTTCCAATTATACATCACCATGACATGCGGCTTATATCCTAATCCACTAAATTAATTTGGTCAAGAAGAATATAATATGAAGTATCCAAATTTAATACGAGTTCCAATTTATGTCTCTTGTCACAATATTTTCGTTGACCGAATCATCTGTTGTGTTGACTTTTTTTTCTTGCCTAATATATCCATTTAAATTGAAGACAAAATATTATTAATATTCTTTTTCCATTCAAAAAATGCATAACATTATATTCTTGTATATATTCTACAAGGTGAACTAATTAGTAGAGTACGAGAGCACCATGTCAAACGACGTAGGATCGAATCTTCGTCGAATGTGTGGTTATGTGGTTGAAGTTTCTTAATTTGTCACTAAATAAGGAAAATCCAACTTTAATTACATTTAAAAATTAAAATAATTAGATTAATACTTTCGTATTTTACGTCAAAAGGCCGACACAAATGAATAAAGTGAGCTAGATTAATACCTTCTTTAGTGAACACAATTTGATATCAATATGTAGTTGTTAGAAAGAAGATCAACTAGAGAGAAAACAAACAAACAAAATATTTGTTAAACACCTTTATTTCTTAACCTTTTTATTGCATTTCCATTAATTATATATTTCTTAATTAAAATGAACTGCAAATTAATTATAATTAATCAGCCAAAAGTAAAGCCTCAAGTCCAATATAGTTGATTAATTAGTACTAATTTAGTATGATTAATTAATGCATGGACACAAATGAAAGCATCTTCTCCGCCAGGCACTACAAGAAATTTTGGTTTCAGTGACGATTTTGTATGGTCGTTAAAAGTTAGAAAATGGTAGCTAAAACTTCTAGCGACCAAATTAAGCTTGGTCACCGGTGGTCACAACAGAGTAGCTACTAAAAGTACTCAGTGACAAGAAAATTAATTGGACGCTAAAAGATGAGATTTAGCGGCGAACTAATAATGGTCACTAAAAATATAATTATTAACGACCACTTTTTGACTCGCTAATATAAATTTTATGGTGGCAATAATATTAACATGGTTGCTATAGCAACATATATAGTGGCCATATAACTTTGGTCGCTAAATGATACATACGTGTAGTGACCATATTTTATAGTTGCTATAGGATACATATTTGGCCACCACATTTTTTGGTTGTTACATAATATACATATAGTGACGGTATATGTTGGTTGATAAATAATATATCTATTGGTAGCTAAAATATATACATATCGTGACCATATTATTGGTTGCAATAATTTTTGCATGGTTTCGACAATTATTAAATTTACTGACCAATTCAGACCAATAATTAATTGGTTGCATTAATCATTAATGTTTATTTGCATCAGTGGCCGTAAAAAAAATTAAAATAAAACTAAAGATTGCATATTTACATATTATCAAACAAATGAATATTATAATTTCAATCTATCATATTCAATACAATAATAAATCAATCATTCCAAATAATAAGAAAGATTACTCTAATTATTTCATAATAAATTCTACTTCATAAATTGTTAGGCGACAACAAATATGACTTCCACGATAACGTTCTTTCACTTCATCAAACAGTCCAACCTAAAAAAGGGAAAAAAAATTCAAATAGAAAATAAGAAATCATATGATAGAATCAATTTCAATCATTTGTCACTTAGTAGCACTCATAATTCAATAATGTATCTGGGCTCTTGCATAAGTAGCTACTTACCTCGTCCAATCCATGTGTTTAATGTGATGCATTGCCTGAGAATTATTAGTTATGACGGAAATTGTAATTCATTTGTCCTACCTCATATAATAATTGAAGCTTAAAAAACAATTAATACGAAATATTGCATGAAATGGATCAGAACTTTGATTTCGGAAAACTCACCTAGATTCCAATGCACAATATAGCTGAACTTGCTCCTCCCGACTCCCTTCATCAATTGACCATCAACCTAGTCACCTGATATAAAGAATTTATCCACAATCAGTAGAAGTAGAGAAATAATTTTGACAAATTTTATGGTTCATTTTTACATAACGTACATTCGGTGTACCAGGATCCACACCTGGATCCACGACAAATAAATCTCATATAATCATGAGCAACACCCGGTAAGCTAATACTACTTTCTATGTCAGCTCCATCTGAAGTAAGCTCCATCTGAAGTAAGAGTGTTGATATGTTCAAATTTATGCATGTCAAAAAAACCTGGTCCTTGCATTAATAAAAGAGAGAACAAAAATTAAGTATATTTAGCAAAAATCGTAACGATGAGATCAATACATTACCAAATACTAACTCAATATCGTCCAACCAATAAATTTACTTAACATACCCTCATATGATGTTATGTCTAATTTTGATCAAAATACTGTAAACTTGTTCTTCAATGTGCATAAGACAAATTTCAAATAAATAAGGGCATAAATAGATGCTAAACATTAAACTTATCCATAAATTGTACGGATTAGCTTAGCATAATTAAATGTTCTTTAATAAATATGATATCACCCGAAATTGAGTCTTCAACTCTTCATTTGTTCTCTGGTATCTCATCACCAAATATGCAATCAAAGTACATAATATTCAGTATACCTTGATCCACGACAAATAAATCTCGTATAAACGTGAGCGACACCCGATAATCTAATATTATTTTAGAAAATCTGGCAGCTTTGGTACTTCAAATTTGAAAATTCATATATATTAAACAATGCATACAAACCTTATGAAATTTTAACGCAACGTTCACATATATGTGATTTATACCATATTAAAACAGTTCAGTAAAATACGTATCCATGGAAGAGGAATAATTAATTTAGTACAGCAACATCAGCAGAATTTCAGAACAGAGCATTCAACTTTAAAAATACCAAATAAATCATTCTTTTAGCGAAACACCATGAAATTTCACGAAGAATCAGATTTATAAGTCTATAATCATATCCAGTTGGAATCGCATGAATCGGAACAAGATAAATTCTAATTTAACGCATAATTCATAGATGACTCAGAAATAGTGCAGTTTCAGAAAACGGATCATAACTTGATCAATATAATTCCAAATTACACATACCATATGTCAAAACGAAGCTAACGGAGACATCTATACGCACAATTAATTTCATAATTTTCAGAAAATAAATCAGCGATGAATCATGCACTGGAATCTGAGGCTACGAATCTGGAAATCGAACTAGGGTTTATTGAAATCTATATTTCTTGACCTAGATCCCTAAATCCGATTCCTAAACATATGAATCAATTAAAAACATAAACATATCTTATTATTTATCATCAATTCAGTAAACATCAAAGTCCTTACCTCTTTGAAGAGAATCGAATACAAAGAAGAAGAGGGAACCGAAGGATTCGATATGAAACTTCCCGGAGAAGAAGGGGAAATTAATGAATTCGAAAATTCTCTTTTCCTGTAATCAAATCTTCCAAATCTCCTTGATGAATTCGAAAATTCTCGAACAGGGGTAGGAACTAGGGCTTGGAGAAATTGGGTGATATAGGCGAATACTTTTGGGGAAAACAAAAGAGGTAAGATAAGAGGGATTTGGTGCAAACATAATGAAGAAATTAAGAGAGAATTTTTTCTTGATTTTCTGTAATATTATGCGAGAATTGGGAGAGAGATAGAGAGAGCGTAAGGAGAGTGAACAGAGTTATATTTTGTGATGAAGAAACGTGATAAATGGCTGTACTTTTTTTTATTATTTGCATTTTCGCCCCCAATCTTTATTTTATTTTCTTTTCTTTTCTTGATTTGTTTAAAAACTAAACTAGTGACCAAATCGATTTGATTTCCGTAAGTAGTTTCATAGTAACCAAATTCAAATGGTTGCTAGCAACTCAATTAAATGGTTGCTAATAATTAAATTAAAGACTCGTAGCAACCGTAAAAAAAATTTATGTCAACTTGGTCACTATTGACACTAAGTTATAGTGACCATAAAAATTGTCGCTACAAACTTTAACATTAGTTGCTACAAGATGTCTAACTATTAGTGACCACATATAGCTACCAAATGTTCGTTGGTCGCAACAAGATTTAGCCTTTCCCACTTTTGCTACAAAATTACTTTTGGTCACTAAATGTGAACATTCAGTGACCATTTAGTTATGGTCGCTGAGAATTTGGTCACAGAAACTAGTTTTTCTTGTAGTGAGGTATGAAAGTTGTAGCTTTTTACGAACTTTTTCCTCTCGTACCATTAAACAGTACTAAACACCTTGTCTGAAAGAATCAACGACGACATTGAATTCGGTAACAATAAGAGAAATAAAGCGGGAAATAAACGAACACGAGGTTAAATATTGAATTACATTCAAAAGTACAGAACTTGTGGACTGCCATCAGGACGGAAAACAAGTAGAGGCAAACGCAATTCGAATACGTTGAAGTACATACTATTTTTCGTCAGTTAATTATTTCTAACTTTCTATGTCATATGATTTTGATTTTAGTTACTATAATTTTTTCTTTCAGTTGTTTAATTTGAATTTATTATGTATTTTTCGAAATTTAATCCACGTAAAAAACGTTAAAAAATAAAAATTAATGACAATCTTGATTGACAGTTGATCACGTGAGTTCCACGAGTAATGCTCCCATGCAATCACATGCAAAGATCAAGAGAACAGAGAGAGCACCTGCATGCCTAACGTGCAAACACACACACACACACACACAGAGAGAGAGAGAGAGAGAGAGAGAGAGAGAGAGAGAGAGAGAGAGAGAGAGAGAGAGAGAGAGAGAGAGAGAGAGAGAGAGAGAGTAAATGGGTCCGGGTCGAGTATTTGGGTTCCCAATTCGAGATCAGAAGTAACCTGGTTTTGCAATTTCCTGTCTGGTCTGATGAAGACAGAGATATAAATGGCCGAATGAAAAATAAAGATTGACCCCTTTGTCTCTTACACTCATATACTATTACATTGAGCATCATGAATTCATGACCCACAACCCATACCTTGATGTATAAATATATTGCACCTTATTGGAGATATTAATATTAAATGATACATTTCACTAACAGCTTAAGCTTTTGGTTGAGATGGTCATTCAACACACCTCTTTAAAAAAAATTACAAAAATATATTATTGTAGATTTATTTGCTGGCTTTTTAATACAACTTGAATCAGAGTAATCGAAGTTCGTATGAGAGAGATATGATCAAAATATCTCATTTAATTTGTCTATTAATTATTTAACATGAATCTCACAAGATACAAACATTATATTGTAGATCGATTTATTGATTTTTAAACGCATGCAACTTGAATCAATACAATTTGAGTTTTTCCGATCAAATAATTGTAGCATCAAATTGTGATGCGACTAATTGGGCTCTAACCCAAAAAGCTTCTGAGGCTCATTCAAAGGAAAAAGCCAACACATAGGCCCTTAATTAAGAACTTCATAATTATGGGAAGAAATCTAATGTTTTTGTCTCACATTGGTTTTCTACAAGAAAACCATACCAAACTCCACCTATAAATATGTGTTATCAATCACATAACAAGGTAAGTACTATTTAGGCAATTAATTAATATTATTTGCTTATATTGTGATAGTTTTCTGACTTGAGCGTCGGAGGACAATCGCCGGGCCACCTCCGGCGTGTCACCTAGTGTTTTCAACTGTTTTGTAGGTTAACGAGTGGAGCGACCTCTTTGACTACCTCGGGCGTGTGGCAAGGACTCTCGCCATTCTTGGGCTTGAAGATTCCCGTCCTGTGGGCTTCAAGACCATTGTGATGACCCAACATTTTGGAGCAGCATCATTTTGGCGCCGTCTGTGGGAAAGCAAACTAGATGAGTATGTTGAATTTGACACCATAAGGGTGGAGATGTAAGAAGATTCATAGTTGAGGGGTAGATGTAATTATCCAAACAGAATAGGTTTTTCGTAATCTGACCATACTTTAGGAGGTGGTTGTAATTTACCCTTTTTTCTTTTGAGGAACTCGCAGCCAACCATATAAGTGCATCAGGTAAACTTGCACTCTCGTATAATAATAGCTTTCCAAATCATACGGGAGACATAAACTACAGTAAATTAACCATATGTGACAAACTCCACCGAACGACCGTTGGCAAAACGATTCAAACTTGGGTTAATCCAGACTTTTTCCATTATATTTATTTTAGACATTCATATATAATACATTATTGGCATGAAAAAATGAAAAAAAGTGGACCTATTTGAATACACTCCAAATTGAATATGTATATGGAACCTTTAGCCACCCATAGGCCATAATAACTAACCGGCCAAATAAAAAGAAATACTATTTATAAATGTATGTACTTTCCTTTAATTTATTGCTCGCAAAGTAGTGAGAATATCCCATGGATCTCGCACTTCAATATTCACACACTCTCAAACATTTGATTTTTTTTTTCTTACCCCCTATATCCAATTAAATATTAGTTTATGTTACAATTAGTGGTGTAAACGAGCCGAGCCGACTCGTGAGCTCGAAGAGCCGGCTCGTAAAAAGCTCGAACTCGAACTCGAGATTTTCGAGCTCGAGCTCGAGCTCGAGCCGGTTTTCAGTTGTTCATGAGCTCGCGAGCCGGCTCGCGAGCCGGATTTATTATTATTTTTTTATTATTTTTTTTATTTTTTATATGTTATTTTTATTTAAATAATGTATAATAATGTAAAATATTATAGAAATAAATACAAATATTAAAAATATATATAATTACAATTTAGTTTTTATTTTTTATTTTTTAAATAATTTTTAATAATAAAATAATAATTAAAAAAATATTTAAAAAAAAAAAAAAAAAAAAAAAAAAAGACAATGGGCTCGAGCTCGAGCTCGACACAACTGACACGAGCTCGAGCTCGAGCCAAAAAAAGAGGAGCTCGCGAGCTCGAGCTCGAGCTCGACAAAATAAACTCGAGCTCGAGCTCGAGCCAGCCAAAAGAGGCGAGCTCGGCTCGAGCTCGGCTCGTTTACACTCCTAGTTACAATTGGATGTGCTAGTAGCAAGTAATAATTAATTAAAAAAGAATTATTTAATTAATTAAGAAATTTAAAGTATGGGCCGAATATAGACAGAAATGACAAACTTGGGTTGTCCAATTGGTTAGCAATACGGACCGGGCCAAACCAATTGACCCAACTGAATCTTAATACTTTCGAAAGAGCCTACAATAAATTGCAATATTTTGTCTCGTTTCTTTTATGAGCATCATTAAATAAATTGCAATTTATTTAATAGATCTTTATTGTAATGTTTTTATTTTTTTGATATTTTGTGTTATATAGAATTTGAGTCGCTAGTGCAAATGAAAGTATAAAATAATTATAATGATGATTTAGTGGCGGAGCCACCATAGGGTCGGGGGTCACGCCCCCCTAATATTTCTCAAATCTCCATATATACGGGGAAACGGCATGTTCTAAAACTGGGGTTACGGGAACTTGGGGAAACACGTATGATGGGGAATCGTTGGCCACCATAGAAATGTGTCTGTTTCTCGTGTATGTGTGTGCGTCTCCTCTTTTTCTCCTTTTCGTCTCCCCTGGTCCGTTCTACCGAGAGAAAGTAAAATAGGGTTGGTTGGTGGGTTTGGGCCGAAAATAAAGAAAAAGGCTGGTGGGTTCTTATATATGGGCTCAATCTTTGGCCCATTTATTGTATGGTTTGGGCCTGGGCAAATCGGCCTAGATCAGCGTAAATAGTAAAAGTATAGGGGTATAGTTATAAATATTCTATATGAACATATATAAGTTTTTATTTATATATAAATTCTTTTTATATATTTATACAAACATATTCAAAATAAATTTTACTATCAACTATCAATTGCAATTGATCATTAAATAATTTGGGAAACAACATAAATATTTATAATTTTGCTATTTAGACATACTTCTAACTTTTCAAAAATTACAAAATGACCCATAAAGTGTCTGACAGATGTCTTCGAGTTTCCGACACAACTTTCCCGAAATGCAGAAACGTTAACATGTTGAAGTTCCGTGCCACAAAGAGCTCTATAAATTATAGAGAAACATAAAAAAAGTTGTGTACAACGTCTCAAAATTTTTTGGGTAAATTACAAACACCCCCCTGAGGTATGACTAAATTACAAAAACACCCCTCTTGTTTGGATAATTACAACCACCCCCCTCAACTCATCAAATTTAGTGGAATTTTCGAGATTATATGGAATATTATCACTTTTGTACCCGTTTTATCCCATTCAAACTCTACATTATTAAGCAAGATGACCATAATATGTGATTTTTAGCTTGTATATATCAGTTTGTGGTGCATCGAAAACTGTATTTTTTACACAAAGAGTACAAACTAGAGCACATTTCACGGAATCTAGATGACTATGTTGAATTTGGCACCATAAAGGTAAGAAAAAATCATCGTTGAGGGGGGTAGATGTAATTATCCAAACAAGAGGGGTTTTTTTGTAATTTAACCATACCTCAGGGGGTATTTGTAATTTACCCAAATTTTTTTAATGTATCAACCCTAGACTTATAATTCTAGCTCCGTTGATGATCAAATTGGTCTATTCAATTAAACTTTTTTACAGGTTTAGTATTGTGGTCAAATTGCCCGCATCCCATACACGATTTTTCCAAACTCAAATAGCTTAAACTTTTAATTTGTATTTAGTATATTCTCAAATGTGAATGGAATCACTATCAAAAAATCGAACACAGTTCTCAAAATAACTTCTTCAATTAAATTGTCTATTTTCAGTATAAACTCCCCATGTAATAAATTGCCAGAAAGACTTTAAGCTAATTCATAATATATGCAGCACTGGACTTTAAGCTGTAGAAAATACTTTAAGCTGTAGAAAATAGTTTCGACGGACTTTAAGCTAATAAATCCCAAAATTTAATCAAGGCACGATAAAGTCAACTCAAGATCGATTACTATTAAAATGTTCTTGAATCACTATCGAATACACATAACATTCTAATAAGTATCGGTTTCTTCAAACTCGTTTATCCGAGCTTAATTATCGGATGAATTGGAATGGAAGCACATTCAAGGGCGTACCGACATTGAGGGTTTGGGTGGGGTGGGGGGGCAGCCGCCCCTGCAAGAAGAAAAAAGAAATGTGCTTATTGCTTCCTTAGATGAATATAGTAATTATGTATATGCAATATTCCAGGGACAAGGCAGTAATATTTCTCTCTATATATATATATATATTTATATATTTTATTATATATAGTGAAAGATATATATGATATGCAAAGTACTGTTAGAGTACTGTACTTACAAATAAGTCAAATTGGAAAAAAATAAAAAGATGCCGCCATTGGAGGATGCTCTACTTGCTAAAACCTAACTAGTTGTGGCCAAAATGTCAAATAATTAAAGCACCTTTTCTTATAAGCTCCCTTTAATATTTTAACTCTCTTATTTTTCATGTAGGTCCCCCAATTAGGACCTTTCTGCAAATACCCAAAATCCAACCATTTTTCTAAGGTATTAACCAAAAATTGATATTTCGTTTACGTCACATAGATCAACATATATATCATTTTAATTTTATTTTTATTTTTGACAATGAAATTTAATTTAATTTAGCCACCAAACACACACACATATGTGTGCAGTGTAGTTTCGCTCTTGTGCAATAACACGCAAACAATGCGAGAAAAATATATTAATTAGGTCTAGTTATTACTAAAAAATAAATAAAAATGGGTAATCACGAAAAAATCGCATCAACTATGAATCTTCTTAAATGTCACGTCCTTATTGTGCAAATTCATATATATAATCTTCTAGATTACGTGAATGTTCACTAGTTTGTACTCGTTTTGTGCAAAAATAGAATTTCTAATGCACCACGATATGATATTCTCAAGCTAAGTGGCACATCTTATGTTCATCTTGTTTCAAAATGTGGAGGTCGAATGAGATAAAACTGGTACAAATTGAAGAATATTCCGCATAATATAGAAGATTAACTAAATTTGACACTGCAATGGTGGACATATAAGAAAATTCGTAGTTGAGGGTGATTGTAAGTACCTAAATAAAAGTGGTTTTTTCGTAATATAACCATAACTTAGGAGATGGCCGTAATTTACCGAATAAAGATAAGAGAATTTAAAATTGATCATCAAAGAATACAAGTCAGTAGTGAGTACTAATCTTATCTGGATTTTAGTGTCCTAAGATTCCCAGTTTCAGCTCAGTTCTATCCACAAAACACATGTTACACTGAAATTATCCTTAAATTCTTAGAATATATATATATATATATATATATATATATATATATATATACACACACATAAAATATAATAATGATTTATTAATTAATTCAAGAAGCATGAAAATGGGAAGCGCATCTCAGTTTGATGAAAGTGATAGTGATAGTACAAAAAAAAAAAAAAAACAAACAAACAAACAAACAAATTTAAACTTAAAATTCCCTCTTCAACAAAGTACACCTGGAATTTATAACACTGGCACTGAATTCACTGCAAGCCCAAGAAATTAAAAAAAAAAAAACCCAATTTATTAAAAAAATGTGTTTATTCATTTAATAAATTTAATAACCCTAGTATAGCCTTTGCTCATCAAAAAACAAACAGTTATACGATGAAGAAGGGTAAACAAGACAGCTTATATCTCCATCCAGTTGCTGACGTGGCATACTGTTATAATACGATGATAAATTTTCCGGTATCATAATCCCATCATTATTATTATTATTATTATTAATATTATTAATCGGTGTTAAGCCGCCATGGAAATCACCTTCAGACAGATGCTGAAGATTCTCATGAGAAAAGGACGACACGTCATCAGAAGAAGAAGTGCTGTAGCAGAAGTTCCCATAGGGCGGCGGCGGCGGCGGCGGCGGGATATCTACGGCGGCGGTGTTTGAGTAATTATAAGCATCCGCCGCCGCCTGCATCATCAGGAAGGGTGTGGCTGCCGCCGCCGCCTGTGGCAGCGGCGGCGGCGGTGGGGCGGCGGCCCAGTTAATACTTTGCTTGGTCTCCCCGCGGCGAGCGTGTAGTAGGTGTTGTCTTCGCTGGCGGCCGAGAAGCTTCTTCTTGAGGCGTGTGTTCCAGTAGTTCTTTATATCGTTATCTGTTCTTCCGGGTAATTGTGCTGCTATTATAGACCATCTGCATGCCCAAATTAATTCATTAATTAATTAATTATACCATGGATAACTCATCAAACCCTAATTTTATGTATATATATATATATACACAGTGGAGACCTCTATAAATTAATGCTCGATAAATTAATAATATCGTCCGGTCCTGGCTCGGTAAACATACATATATGTATTAAATTATCAGTTCAATAATTTAATATTTTACTAAATTAATAGAATTTTGTTAGTTCAGACTGTATTAATTTACTGAGGTTTTAGTGTATACACACATATATATCATTTATTGGATTCAATATATAATTAATTACCTGCTTCCGATAGTGATATATAGACTGCAAATCAAGTCATCTTCGTCTTCGGTAAAACCGCCGTGTTTGATGTTTGGCCGGAGATAATTCAGCCATCTGAGGCGGCAACTCTTTCCACATCTCTTTAAACCTATACATATGATCAGGGGCAGAACCAGGAAATTTCATTAGGGGGGCCAGATTTTTATGAAATGATACCATGGAGGGAGATTAATTCTTTTTTAAAGTAATTCATAAAAAATGAAGCAAAAAATGATCTCTTTCTCTGCATATGATCCCATGATTTTTTTCATGACAAGTACAACATAGTACAAACAAATTAATATAGTACCAATTTTTTGAGGTAAGGAAATCCAGTTGCCGCCAGTGCCATGGTTATGAATGTAGGATTTGAGTTTATCATCTTCTTCAGGTGACCATGGCCCTCTCTTCACGTTTGCTTTATCACAGCAAGGCGCTCTCCCCATCGTGTATGTTGCTTTCTCTCTCTTCAATCTCTCTCTCTCTCTCTCACCTGCAATCATTCATTAATGATCTTTTGCTTCCATCTATGTATATATACTAGAGAGAGGAGAGAGAGAGAGATCTAGAGAGAGAGAGAGAGAGTAATAGCTGGAGAAGAAAATATTATGTATTGAAAAAAAAAGGTGGAGTGGAGAAAAGATGGGTGTCTTTTATGTAATAAACTAATGAAGTAAAATTGAAAGGCAGCGCAGTAGAATGAGCCTTTTCTCATTGTCCTTTAATTCTCATTTTCTCATTCAAGAATCTAACTCCCCTATACAGTGTTCAATATTTGGTTCATGCATTATTCAACATTTTCTTTTAGTTTCCAAATTACACTTCTAACCCTCTTTATACTGTACTACACGATATATTTGCCATTCATATACACACAGACACAAATAGGGCTGTGAACGAGCCGAGCTCGTCGAGTTCGTTATTTTTTGGCTCGAGCTCGAGTTCGTGCCATTTTTTCGAGCTCGAGCTCGAGCTCGAGCTCTTTTTTTTTCTGTTTTTTTTTAAATATTAATTATTATTATTAAAAATTATTTAAAAAATTACAAAATAAACAATAAATTTTAATTATATATATTTTTCGTAATATTTATATTTTATTTTTATAATATTTTATATTATTATACATTATTTAAATAAAAAATAATATATTAAAAAATAATAAAAAATAGTAATAAATAAGGCTCGTGAGCTCATGAACAACTAAAAACTGGCTCGAGCTCGAACTCGAAAAACTCGAGTTCGAGCTTTTTTCGAGCCGGCTCATCGAGCTCACAAGTCGGCTCAACTCATCTACCACCCCTAGACACACACCTATATTGATGTGTGTAGATCAACGATAAAAAAGAATTATCCAATGTAACATAGAAATAGCCCCACTAACCCCGCATAGAAAATAAAAATAAAAAAGTAAAATAAATAGTGTCGACAGCTAATTACAGCCAAGATATCAACGAAGGTGATATGTTTTTTTTACAACTTAAATAATATAATGTTTGTGTTGAACCATTTTCAAGACTCTAGCTAATTATGCACGGGGAGTTAGATTCTACAGCTGGTTGTTTACATTGGGTGAATTTGGATCGTATTGATTAGATAATTACCCAGTAAGCATTCATATACATAGTTAGGTGGGTAATTATGTGTAAATTTACGGTTGAAAAATCCACCCAATGTAAATTGCCAACTGTGACATATAATTTCCAAATTAAGCACTCAAAATAATATAAGTACCTTATTATAGCTTCATTAATTAGATCAATGATTAAGACAATTATTATGGAAGCCGATCATTATGACTCGTTCAAAAAGCTATACCACTAAAGTTCAAAAGTAGTCTACACCATATAAGTACGAATTTTGATCATTCAATAATAAAGCAAGGTCGCTGTTGGCGCCATATTTCCGACTATTGAAGATCGAGGAAATCCGCCAAATTTTGGAATTAAAAGATTGGCAAAGATTTGTTTTCCATATTTATTTTGGAATTTATTAGAGTCCTATTCTTATAAACTTCTATTAGGACTTAGATTTATTTCCATGTATTTCATTCTAGTTAGGTATCTTTTGTACTTATCTAGAATAGAAGTAGAAATCAACTAGGATTCTATTACCTAGTTAAATAGATTTCTTGGGGTTCAAGTTAGGTCTTAGGGCTTATTTTCGTGGCTATATAAGCCTCCAAGACATACAAGAACTGTGTGCATTATTTGGGAGAAAAACCTCTTCATAGCATCGAAGTTTTGCCAAGGCGTTCTGCGGAGCAGGACTGTGCCGTCGTTGCACTGTGCCAACATATACAGATTTGCTGTATAGATCTCAAGGGAGATCAGCCGCGTTTTCTGAAGGGAGTTCAGGCTTGAAGAAAGTTCAAGGCACGCGGGTGGAGCTGCTGTTGGAAGAAACACGAAGTTCGAGTTGTGTACAAGAACGGCATATTACATAAAGAGGGAGTCTTTAGTGTTTTTAATAAGTCCTATTAATGTACACTGTAAATCTGAACTAGTGAAATCGTGTTTGCAGGTCCACGTGGATGTAGGGCACATTTGTGTCTGAACCACATTAATTTCTTGTGTTCATTTATTTGCTTTAAGTAGTTTATAACTGTGTTAACACAAGAATTATAGTTGTAACTGAATACTGTTTCCACAACTTGACTGTTACAACTTAGGTTAATTGATTTCTATAGGCATATAAATCAACAATTGGCATCAAGAGCCTCTCACTAGATAAACATAGTGTGTGATTTTGGGAATTTGATTTATTTGCCATTTTCTTCCATAGGTACTATGAATGCTCATATGGAAGGCGGTTCCACGACTCGCCCACCACTGCTTATTGGAACCAATTACTCTTATTGGAAGACCAAGATGAAGATGTTCATCAAGTCAATAGATGAAGATGCATGGCGCACAGTTCTGACTGGCTGGAAACGACCTGTTGCCACAGATGAAAAAGGAATTCAAACTGAGAAACATGAAAAAGACTGGAGCAAAACTGAACAGATTGCCGCAAATATGAATTCCAAAGCATTGAATGTCATATTCAATGGAATTGATATCAATCAATTCAAAATCATCTCAGCATGTGAGTGTGCCAAGGAAGCATGGGAAAAACTTCAAACAGCCTATGAGGGGACTACCTCTGTTAGATTATCAAAACTTCAGATGCTTGCTACTCGTTTTGAGGATCTTCGGATGGAGGAAACTGAAACCGTGAGCGATTCAACTCCAAATATG